ATTTGTGGGTCAAATACTGTACAGTCACTTCAAAAGCATCCAAGATTCAAGTTTCAAATAACCAACTGTTTGAATCAAACAATTGTTATTCTGAGCCATTTTACAGCAATCTCTTTTCAAGGTGATGACTTGATAATATTTATCATTCCCTAAAACTTATCAATTCCAAAATCTCTTTAGGTCCCAGAATGTGTGTAAATTTACCTATGAATAATTGATATAAGTTCATTTCAATTAATAGCCATTTCATATGAATAAAATTCAGCAGAATTCTCCAAAAAGATCTCCCAGCAATAAGTCACAAACAGAAACAAAGCACTGCAATACACAAATGTGCCTACAAGACATGCATCTACATCTATCTTGGATACATGATTGATTAACAATAAGATAAAGCAACATACTCAAGAGATGTCTCCTAGAAGGCAATAAAAATAACAAGAAAAGAAGAACCACTTCAATGGAAAGATAGGTAAAAGCTAGTAAAATTAAAAAGGCAGTGCTATAAATGCTGAAAAATAAAAATCCCTGCACCTAATACACAAAAAGCAATAAATCCACAGCACACTATAAAAAAATGTATCATAAAAGGACACATGTAAAATGGAAAGAGTACATTTCATTGGGGAAAAGAGGGAGAGAGGCAAAGAAATAAAAATGACAAAACAGAATTGGGGTTTAAAACCGACATTGAAATCTTACCTAGCTATCACTTTGTGTATCACACACACACACACACAATTCCATTTAGATATAAAAAAAATCAAATAAAAGAAAACAAAATCACAGATTGTACTTAACTTTTTTCTTTGCCCATGTAAGTGGAGTGTACATCATTTTAGATAAAAAGATACAAAGTAACATCTAACAAAAAAAAAATTGTATCATGCTTTCATTTGTACGATAGATAACTTTTCTTTATAAATCTACAGTTCTTTTTCAATATATTGCCTCACTTCCTCTCATATTTTAAAAAAGTAGCTCTACATTTCTCCTTGAAGTAACAGTGAAAGGGCCAGAGATATTTTGAAAGGTATAGAGCATAGTAAGGAAAAAGTCAGAAGAAAATCAAGCACAGGGTGCATGAAAGCAAAGAAATGAACTGAAGAAAGTCCTTAATACTAACGACCTTCTTGAGAGACAGGGAGAACAAGAGTAGAAGATGGTTCTTCCGTTTTGTTGTTTAAAAGCTGATCAACAATGGTTTCAATTCTGTCATCAATTGGTAGATAGTTTTCTTTCTGCTTCTTTGGAGGGGGCCAAACTTCATCAATGTCAGGGTCAATAAACTGGCGGACAGTCTCTCCTGAAATATAATGGAATATTTCATGTATTGAGTAATACTTAATAGATAGATAAAATATCAAACTGACAATCAATGAGTTTAATTTAAATTCAAAGAGGAAGACATGACTAACCAGGATCAATTGAGAATCTTGCTTTCTTTGTCTCAGGGTATCCAAAGTCATGATCAAGAAATGCACTGCTGTCTTCTAAATGTGCTTGCCTTTTCCCCAACATAGGAAGAGAAATTTTGAGTTCCTCTTCATCTATTAATTCCATGTCATCAGTTGAGTCTGCAGCAAATAATGCTCCAACTTGAGAGTGTAATAATGTCCTTGACCGCCCTGAAAGATATTGAAAATAATTCTATTTAGTTAGGCACCAGTGTCTACAATTAAAGTAACTAAACAAATTGGTAACAACAAACCTGGCAGGGCTGGTAACTTATTGTCTGCATTTAATGCAGAACTAGCAGAGCTTAGCTCTTGATCTTCCAGGGTGTTATTGCCCGGACGAAGATTTGGAACCATAACAAGGGCTAGAGAAAGTAGGAGAACCATGAGACATGTTGCAGGCTGGGCAGCACGTGAACTACTGCTTGTCATTCCACGGGCTACAACTGTCCTCAAACGCTGAAGTTGTGTAGCCAATGATTCATTCTGAGATTGCAAAACTTTAAGTCGTTTCAATAATTCTCGGTTCTCATCAGTGCATTGCTTCACCCTGTGAAATGATTTTATACAAATAGATAAGTTATGTGGAATGAGGTATGAAAGAAAAGCTTTTTTGATTCCAAATGTTGATTGTGTCAGATTAATAGACTAGCATACCTGTCCTCTAACCCATCAACATATTCTTTCTTCCTTTTCCGTGAGTCTTGAGCTGATATTTTGTTTCTTATCTTACGTCGGATCCGTTTCAGCTCTCTTTCTTCTTGCTTGGTAAGAGGGTAATGTGTTGGAAGAGTTACACCCTCTTTCTCCATCAATCTCCTTTCTTCAGCTACAATAAGTTAAGTCAATTTAATAATGGTTCAAATAGCTAATATAGTAGAATACCTTAGGACATGCCCTTATTCAAATACATAACTTACGCGAAAGAACAAGCCTTGGGTAGGGATTTTGAGACATGTCCATGGTGTTGTCTGATGAATCATCACTTGAATCATCACCTGACATTTGCATTATGTCACTCATACTACTACTGATGCTGCAACTTTGAGCTGGGGATGCATTTAAAGTATTTAAAACTGAACCAGGCTTCACCTGAAGCAAGGTAACAGGGGTTCCTTTTCCAACAGCAGGGACCATTGGTCTGCATCCTACAAGGCAGCAAGTAAGGCAATTAAAATTGATGATTCTAGATAACATTAATTATAAAAAAATTAACTCTTAACAAATTTCAAGACTTACTCGCACGCTTGTTTGTGACGTTGTTTGCATTCACAATTTTAATAGTTCGGACATCTTTCAAGTCCTGCAGTGGCAGCAGTATTGATCGTGGATGACCAGAATTTGAAGAGCCAACTGCCGGCATTGGAGTCACTCTAATCATTTGCCGAACATTTGTGGTAGTGCCTCCAGAACCACTACGTTTCCAGCTCTTAACAGGTCGAAGTGTAAGCTGCTGAGTTGATATGTTTGAAGGCTGAGAAGTCACTGGTACATCAGAATCAGAGGACGTTAAGTCTGTAGAAACAAAACAAAACAAATACAACAGAATTAAAATGAAGTCTACATTACAAATGAAATAGCCAAAGTAGAATAAAAACTATGTAATCAGCACATACTCATGTTGATAATAGCAGTATTATTCTTCAGTTGAAGCTGCCCCAAATTATTTGAGTCCAATATTCCTGCACTGAGAACTGCTGAATCAAGCAAATCAAATTTACCGCCTTCCGGGGAAGATGGAACGTCAGGGGAGGCAGGCATTGATTGTGCAGGGGAAAAGTCGACATCCTAAAAGTAACGAAAAATATATAAAAAATAAGAAAAAAACTTCTAATGAAAGATTTACTTTTAAAGCATCTAATAAACCTTAGGACACTTTTGGAGTGTTTACTAACCTCTTCTAATTCTTGCTTAATGGGGGACATTTGCAAATCGACAGATCCACCACTGTCCTCAGCAACATCATGTGCTGAGTGATCACCATATACATCACTGTAAATGTCGCTATGCACATCGCTGTTTACTCCACTGTCAGAGCTGCTGCTGCTGCTCACAACAGCAGCTATAGGAGAAAGTGATCCATCACCCGAAAGACACACATCAGATGTTAGGGGATTTCCAATTTCAGTTTCAGCAAGTATTGAGTCATCAAATGGAGTGCCATTGAGTAGAGAGTCAAGGAATTCATCAGGGTTGCTTGGCCAAACTTCTGACTAGAAAAGAAAATGAAGAAAAGATTGCTAATAAGATGCATGAAAATTGTTAAGGAAGATAGAACAAATAAAGTAGGTAATTAATATAGTAGGTTGGTGGGTGTGATAAGGACTAAACAGATCTGTTAATATAAAAACAAAAAATAATTTAATACAAAAAAGAGAATATGAGTTCAATAAGTTCCAGTGGTAATAACCACAATGAATGTGAACAGTGAAATAAAATAATTGACTTGGATTAAAATCAGTGCAAACAGCATTAAAATGTTCTAAATATGTTGAAGGGATGTATTCCAGCGACAAGTTTTAGAATAAGACAAACTTTACATTAATGTGGTGAATGGGAAATTCCACCACAGAATAAAACTTTTTGTAATTTGACTATGGTAAATAAATTCACATCAATAATCGTATCTTAAGTATAGATGGATAGATGCCAACACATTTGATGTTGTTGTTACATCATGCTGGTGACACCATGCAATTATCTGTTGCGATTTGGACGTCATGGAAAACTGAGAGTGTACAATATGGGTTATTGGTTTTCCATCTACAAAAAATTGGTATAGAACATGCAGGCTAACTACTTTAAAAAAAAGAGTAGATAACAGGAGAAAAAAATGAGGTCAAATTGACAACTTACAGAGATACCAAATGAGGGTTTGGAGTCAATGTCAACCAGTTCATCTTTCGGGTAGAGATCATCTTTATCAAATGTCAAGTGAAGAGTTGGGTCTTCTTTGTCAAAGAGGAGGTCCATTAAATTCATATCGGATGTCATGGACATTTTGTATAGGTTACTGGGTAGACCTATATTTTAATTAATTAATCCACAACACGAGATAATCGCCACTGTCTACGACTGTTTCAATGCAACAACGTTCAAATGGACAAGACGACGGCTTATGTAAATAAGACTGGTGAAAAATACACCAAAGTCTTAACTTAGTGAGGGGTATTTAAATTGATGTACCGTTGCGGCGCACAATATGGTCAATCATACACGATGACATGAATGATTTTACCAGAAGTTCGAAAGTCGTAACCGATAATTCACTTTGCAATTATTAGGAAGTATAGCACCTCTATTTTTCCGACAACCCATTTTTAAAAGCCATTCTACGGCAATTACAGCCTAAAAACACGTTAAAAAGTCGTCCCGTCCATTGCAAAGTGCACCTTGAACCACCACACTTCCAACGTGGAAGTAAACAACGGCGTTTTTCAGATGTCTCACTACATGCTGCTTTCTGATTGGTCGACTCACGTCTTTAGCAGTACAAGAAATTTAGACGACGGTATGAGAATCAAAACAGAACCTCGTCGGTTATTGTTGTTTATGTAGTTTGTCTACAGTTTGTCTTCTGCTGTTTGTTGTCGTTTGAACCAAAATGACAGATCAGGTCGTATTGACAGTACACAGTCCAATTAGTCATCATGACTCGTAGTATAGTGCTCGATAAGTTTGAAATTGTTCGTGTGATATTCTCGGAGTTAAAACGTGGTAAAAACCTGAGTGAGAAAACCGAAAGGTGAACATATTTCAATTTGGTTATGTCAACTAAATCTCTTACTTTCATAGACTTTTTTTTAAAAAGAAAAATTGGTTCTAGCAAGCAATATGGAAGAATTAGGGAGAGATATATTAGCAGAAGACTGGTTCACAGTTTGCAAAGAGAAATTCAGAGACCTTTCTCCTGCTGAGAAGTCATCTGTGATACTGAGTCTGATAGACATGTGTGATACCACTGCCCGGTTCAATTTATTGAAGTCATGCAGTAATGCACTGCACTGCGACATTTTGGCATCAATGCCTCAAATAGCTCTAGATCAGATTCTAGGCATGCTTTCAGTGGATGACGTTCTGAATGCATGTAAGGTCAGCCATCAATGGAATAAGTAAGTGAATTTCCAACTGCGTTTGCAATACATAAATAGAAATGGTGATTTGCTCAGAAAGACATGTTTTTGTTTTCTAGGTGTATTTCTGAATCCAAGTTTGTATGGAAGAAGAAATGGCTTGAAATGGGAATTGGAAGCTGTAGGGACCAAAAGCAGTATCATAAACGTGACTGGAAGCAGGATTGTGTCACAGCTCAAGGGCTGTATTCTAAGATTGATGGAAGGAAAGCATTGGATTATGTCTTAGATCTCTTCAATGATAACTATGGTTATATATCAGCAATGGATTACTGTAATGGGAAACTTGTTCTTTGTCATAGTAAGTTATTATCCATACTGATGTCATATTATTATAGTTATAAAGTATAAAGTTGGTCGAAATCAAACAGATTTTGCTTGACTTTCTAGGCAGTGGAGAAGGTGGGTCTATATTTTCTCAGAAGGGGCTCGATTGGAGCTACCTTTGTTCATTCCCCGTAGCAGAGCATGGTTACCCATCAAGTGTACGGCTCCTAGCATCAGGACTCATCGTTGTTGGAAGTAGCAATGGAAAAGTTACCATTTGGAATTTTGTAAATATTCAACCAGGATCTTGCCATCATCAGGTATACAGTTCATCCAGATTTGGTTCAGAGCTTTGGAAAGGAAATAAAACAGATCACATTGTATAGATTTAACAAATTTCTATTATATTCAGGTGAATTTAAATCATGTCTGTCATGGACATACAAGTATAATTTTAAGTGTCGATGGAAGTGATAACCTTGGAGTGGTAGTTTCGGGGTCAAGAGATGCACGTGTTAAAGTTTGGAGCATTGTTAATGGCATTTGCTTGAAAACTTTTGATTTCTCTTCGCCAATTTTGCAAGTAATTTCTAATCACTGCCATATTGTTTTGTAATTTGTATCTATAGATATATGTATACTTACCATGAACTTGACTTTATTTATTGTAGGTGTCATTACTTTGTGGGAAGGGTTCTCCTTTAAAAGACTACAGCTTTCTACTTATTCATAGTTCAGAGAAAATCATCCTTCAATCCTGGGTTGGGTACCACCTTCAAAATTGGTTAAAAGATGACGTACAAGAAGAATGCATTGTCACTGATGCTAATATTTTACCTGGGATTCACGTAAGTAGTGACTACCCAATGAGGAATTTGAGCCGTGACTGTCTCAGTGACGGCAAAATGAGAGAGCGGTTTGACATCACGGTGACAGTCACTGCTCAAATTCCACTTTGGGTAGGTACTTTATGGATGAAGTATTGTCTAGGCCTGCTTCTATATAATTTTTTTGTTTTGTTTCCCACATTTAACAGATAAAAGATGGAATTTTATATTACTGCTCTGTAACAATGATTGATGGTCTCCAGCATACAGATTTCAATTGCAAATATCTAAATATGCAAGCAGTTGTAGGAAATAGTAATTTACCATTCTATGTTACTGAAAAGGTGTTCAGTTTCCAGGGCATATTTAGAAAACTGATGCAAGTTGGGATAGTTTTTGCTTTGCTGATTGCAGATGATAATATCACTGCAATAGACATAAGAAGTGGCAGTATACTTTTTAAAGAATATGTGCCATATTCAGCGTAAGCATATTTGTCTTATGTATATGTTGATTTTGTCTCTGTGTTTAACAGACTTTTTAGCTGTTACTGAATACCTATTAACATTTCTATTACTATTCCAGAGCAACAAGTCCAGCATTGCCTCAAATCACCGTTGGTGTTGGGAAATGGCTTGATGGCCTTTTATATGTGAAACAACATGGCATGGTTTTGGCTCTAGCAATCTATGGGCGGAATCTCACTGTGATTTCTTGGGCACCATCAATTCCAGAATTTCCTTCAAAAGAAGATTAACATCAACTCTGAACAGAAGTTGTGTGTTAGGCTATAACAAGTGGTTCGTATATTATCTAACTTCCTGTTTTAATATTAACTTGCTTGTTTAAGTTGGGTTTTGTGCAATAAATGTTATTGATCGTCTTCTGTATTTTGAAATTAATGGAAATTATGTGATT